AATTGGGATTTCGCCAAATGAACTGTAGAGAACAACTTAAAGCCTGTGTGTTGCGTGGCTCAATATGCTCATTTGCAACATTTCATTGAACTCATTATAACGCAACATGAGAAAATAAAGCCAGAAAACACCTCTGTTCATTCCAGTCAACTGGAAATCCCAGAAACAAATGCAATGACAGTCATGATGATCGCGGCTCAATTCAGTATTTACAGGTAAGGGATGCCATGCCTGCTTTTTTGCATTAAAGTTAGCTTTTTCTCCTACCAATTCTGTTATTTTGCCAAGCAATACATATAATTTCAACTTAGGCAGGCCGAATTTTCATGCGCTGTTTACTCAGGCGGTATTGTGACTCCATAACAGGCGCCCAACAGTTCGCCAATCCTGTGACTGACTGTTGCAAAGTACTCTTTATTTCTCGCCACATTCCACTTCGTTTCCACGAGCAACTCTGAAATCTCCTCGAAATGCGCGCTTCTTTCGTCGCTATTTTCCGAGTGAGCAGCTACAAATCCTAACAACTGTTCTGCAGCACAGCGACGCAATATCGGGCACTGCGAGCACAGGTGGTGTATAACCTGCAAATAACAGTGAAATAAGAGTAATGTTAATTAGACATCAGAAATCCATGTCGCAAACTGTGCTCGCTCACAGCTTACCAGTCTCTTGGCAGAAAAAACTATGTCATGGAACAGTGCCAACGTGGGCTACGTCCTTCCTAGGCTTCACAACTTTCCGCTCTCAATCTCCTGCTTCTCTCTTAATTTCACAACAAATTTCAAAAAATATGAAAGCAGAAGTATCTGTAACGAATTTGAAAAGTCTCAGTTTATTGGGAAATGCAGATGCAAAGTGTTTTTGTCTTTGTTAAATGGAATGTATCACTACTTGACTCATTCCACTGCCAAGCTAAAGGAAAGAAGAAAAGGGGCAACTCACCACTAGTGGCAAATCAACTGTCCAAACACTAGAAGAATTCCCAGAAATTAAAGTAATGGAGAATATATTTAAAAAAACCAACCAGTGCTGCGGATTTCTGCCAAACTTGA